AGGAAGAGGGTGTCATATACATAACAAGATGATTCTTTCTGCTTCCAAACTACTGCATATAATTGGGTGAAGTTTGTGTTTGCTGTGTGGTTTTAAAATGGTTTTGATATTAACATTCAGGATAGTTGGGTTGTTTCAGAATAGGAGAGAAACTGGTAATTGTTAATTATTGTCAAGATGAAGCAGTAATAAAGCTGCCGTTTTTCTGTTTCCCCACAATGTAAATAGTACGATACTTCAGTTACATTGAATAAGCAGTTGCTGGACAGAGATCAAATAATACAAAAGTTGTACATGAATATTTGCAGGTTAAATTTTGTGATTGAGAATTAGCAAAACACAGGTACTACAAACCAGCCTCTGAGGTATAAAAAACAGTTTTGGTGATTAGAGTGCCTTTTTTTCTTTTATGATATCTATATCTCATAATGGGGATGAGTTGAATTTTTGAGTCCTTGTGCCTGAATAAAGGTGAGGCGCATGGTTTCATAGTGTCTAATTATCACAGAGTAGCTTAAGAAATGTCACCAGAGCCAGGCCTTTATTAACGTATAATTGCCTGAGTTTTCTTCAAGTAACAGTACATAATACAGGATTTACTGTGTGGCGTTAAAAAAACTTCATCCTAAGGTTTCCCCGAGTCTCTGTTAAGTAGCTCCTGTGGTATTAAAGATTGTCAACACAGACTTGTTATCTTAAGGTTTTTATGTCCCCAGAGTGTTTGAAAGATGTTAAGAAGGCAATGTGGCTCAAGATGTTCCTGTCCATCACTAGGTTTTTGGCATAAGATCATTTAGCTAATTTCTAGGTCGATGAGTAGTTACATGTATATGACCCAATACAGTATAAATGCCTCCTCTCTGTATCATTTTACAAAATCTTTTGATTATTTTTTCTATGAACTTTTTGCTTATAGAGAAGGAACTGTAACTTTTACTTCATTGAACATGATATGGATTGAGCTCACATTAAGAGCTTAGTGTTCGTTAATAATTCCCCCAGTTTGCCCTGAAATTAGTGAAGTAAATGACTGCGAACCTTGATTAACTTAAAATTCCATTTATGTTATTGGTTGTTTAGTACATTCATTATATAAAAGATAATGATGTTTTAAATATAGATTTTACTAATTATTAAATTATCTTTTCTGAAGATCTTTTAAGGTTTTAATTTAATATAGTTTCATTATAGGGCAAATCTCAAACTATCAGTTCATGTTGAGTTTTGTTAGAATTCACAAGTCTTGCTTTGTCAAGGAACAAATATGGGGATCTCTTTTATTTATTATGCCCTGGAGGATTAGTAGTGTCTTTATTTGGCAGCTACAGAAAATGGCATTTCTGGCTTCTAATTGTAATTCAGTTGTCCTCTTTATACTGAATGTTGCTATTTATCGTAGGTAGCTTTAGATTGCAAATCTAATGGTGGTGGTAAAGATCACATGATATAAGTTAGAGAATGGGAATAAACAATGATGGCATGTCTGCATGTGTACAAAATGCTTTATCATTACCATCACTGTATATCTAACATGCATTGATTGTTTATGATATGCTAGGCACTTTATATGTCTGTCTCTTCACATATGTCAAGGAATAAGTTTGGTCAATATTCTCTTGGCTACCCAGTGCTATTTCCAGATTATTACCTTTTTGCTACTGAGTAGAATTTTATGTTCTCTTGAGGCTCATGTTATATTCTTACACCACTTTTACCCTTTCTATTCAACATCATCTACAGAACTCTTGGGCACTCCAATTCATTCAGTGAAGACTTTGATATCTCTCTGGTTGTATTTCTAACCCAAGTCCTGCCATAATCCTAGGTGACTTTATCTTACAAATGAGGAGTTCAGAACCCTAAATTATCAGTTCCTCAGATCAGTTATAAAATTATCCAGTGACGTTTATATCAACTCTACTGTAGTGACCTACTCCTACGATCATAACTTGGTTCTTATCACCTAGAATTGTTTTGGCTCTCAAACTATGAATTCATTTCATTCTAGATCTATAGTTTCCTATCCCTCAAGTTTTTTCCTACTCCTGCTTTTCACTTCATTAGTTATCCTTTGATATATTTTTGCTTGATCAGTTCCCTTCTCTTATCATTTCCTGCTCTAGTTATATTAGATTTCATGGTTCTTCATTCCAGCCACTCATGCAAATGTCCTCAATTTTCTTGCCCTTTTGTCCTTACTTCCCACCTACCTGGGAAAACCTTTGTAGTTAGGGAACACACTTCATAGGTCTTAAATGGTTTTGTACTTATTCAGGCTTAGTTTAACACCCAGAATATGGTTTTCTTGTGGTAAATGTTCCATTTGAGCTATTGAAAAGGATGTGTATTCTCGTGGCTTTGGATGGACTGTGCTATAACTATCAATAAAGTCAAGTTGGTTAATAATGTTGTCCCAGTCTTCTATATCTTTCTTTTCTTTCTGCTTGCTAATAGGAGTGTTAAAATCTCTAACCATAATTATGATTTTGTCTATTTTTTTAAAATTATTTTTGTTTCTATCCTACTATCCCCCTTCCCCACCACTTCCTTTACTTTGAAAATTATTATACAATTACACGTATATTCGGCACTTGAAGTTATTACACAGCCTACTGATAATCCTATTTTTTAAGTTTTTTTCCGCATTTCATTTTGGATTGTTTCTGTTGCTGTGTCTTCAAGTCACTAGTCTCCTCTGATATTAATCTCATTCATTGCATTTTTAGTCTCAGACATCCTAGTTTTCACTACTAGAAGTTTGATTTGGGGTTTTTTTTAATACTTTCCATGTCTGTACGTAACATGTTCAATATTTATTCTAGCTCCTTGAACATATGAAATACCGTTATAATAACTGTGTTCATGTATTTATTAATTCTATCGTCTGTATCTTTTCTGGGTTGGCTTCAGTTGATTTTTCTCATTATAGGTCATATTTGCCTTATTCTTTATATGTCTGATACTTTTTAATGGACATCAAATGTAAATTTTACCTTCTTGGGTGCTGGATATCTTTATATTCCTCCTTTGTTCCCTATTTCAAGTAATGTCACCGGTTTCCACCTGGATGCTCAAGTTCCAAACCTAGGAAAAAAACATGCTTTTTCCTCAAAATTACAAATGCATTTTTGACTTAGCAGTTCATAAATGCATACATACAAAGTGATGATGTACAAGGTCATTCACTGTAGCATGGTTTGGAATAACAAAAGATTAGCAATAATCCAAGTATCCATCTATAGGGGACTGAATAGATAAAACTGTGGGACATCCATAACTTGGAATACTATGATGTCACTGTAAAAATGATTGAGGAAGCTCTCTATGTATTGAAAAGATCTCAAGGATATGAGGTTAAATGAAAAAGCAAGAAACAAATCAGGATGTACAGGTTGAGTATCCCTCATCTGAAAAGCTTAGGGAGAGAAGGGTTTTGGATTTCAAATTTTTTTGGATTTTGGAATAATTATTAGTTTAGCATCCCTAATCCAAAAATCCAACATCCAGAATGCTCCAAAATCTAAAACTTTTTGAGCACCAACATGATCCTCAAAGGAAATATTCATTGAAGCATTTCAGATGTTGGATTTTTGGATTAGGGATATCAACCTGTGTATGTTATCTTTTGTGTAATAAAGGGAGACAAATAATATTTATATTTGCATAAAAAAACCAGTGGAAGGATGCATAAGAAACTAATCAAGCATGTTACTATTTAATTTTTAAAAATTATCAGATGGGAAGCTTCCTACCTAATCATGTTTAAGTTCCAGCTAAGCTTTCAAACTAGGTTCTTGGCTAAGCTGAGACCATGTTCTGAATCAATATTGTATATATTTATGTTTTTGGTATCATGAATACCTCTTGTGATCACATTCCAGCCTTAAGCTAATATCTTATTTACCTTACTTATACATAACAACCACTATTCTGTCCAATTTCCTCTGCTGTAGGTAATATCTCTTAGTTCAAAACCACTTGTGGTGTGTTTGGAATTGACTTCCCTCACTACTATTATAGTGACAAGTCTGATATTTTCTGCTCTTGGCTTTTGGTTTCATTTGTTTGGTTTTAGAAATGATTTTTTTCTTTTATATGATAGTGTAGCATTAGAGATTATCCATCCATCTAGTATGTCTATTTAAGACACATCTCTAGTATTAAAGAGGAAATATGTTTATATTATTTGCAAGGGCTTTGGACCATTGGTACTCTTTCACTATAAATTAAAAATCTAGAAACTCAAAATTTATGTAATTGGAATAATTTACAATTAACATAATATGCCTTGCTTCCTTAACTTCTATTTTAAATACATTTAGAGGAGCTTTTTATAGGTAGGCAGGATCAATAAGGGTATATGCATCAAGAATAGCTTATTTTAGCCGGGCGCGGTGGCTCACGCCTGTAATCCTAGCTCTCTGGGAGGCCGAGGCGGGCGGATCGTTCGAGCTCAGGAGTTCGAGACCAGCCTGAGCAAGAGCGAGACCCCGTCTCTACCAAAAAATAGAAAGAAATTAATTGGACAGCTAAAAATATATGTAGAAAAAATTAGCCGGGCATGGTGGCGCGTGCCTGTGGTCCCAGCTACTCGGGAGGCTGAGACAGGATTGCTTGAGCCCAGGAGTTTGAGGTTGCTCTGAGCTAGGCTGACACCACGGCACTCGCCCCAGGCAAGAGAGTGAGACTCTGTCTCAAAAAAAAAAAAAAAAAAAGAATAGCTTATTTTATGTTTAACAAACAATACATATGGTAACTGTATATTATTATGTATAGTTTTAGCATGCCTTCAACACAAAAGGTCAGTTATGCAGGCAACTTAAAAGAATACAAAATGCTAATGTTTTGTTCTAATACTTTCTTTTTACATTGTTGCTTTTATTGTTTTCAAAATATTAAAAGTTGGCTATAATAATACTTAAATTAAAAAAATTCTCCATTGTTCTTTATTTCATTCTGAAGTTCAACCACCAACTGTCTGATTTGTTTGTTTTCTAAAGGTGTTCTTAAGGATTATTTAAGAGAACTTCCTTCTCCTCTGATAACAAAACAGCTTTATGAGGCTGTGTTAGACGCAATGGCAAAAAGTCCTTTGAAAATGTCATCAAATGGTTGTGAGAATGACCCAAGTGATTCCAAGTTTGCTGTTGACCTACTAGATTGTCTGCCAGAGATTGAGAAGGTAAGCATAATTGGTATACATTTTTTCTGAAAGCCAGCTAATGATTTATAAACTTAGCTCCAGAGCTACAAATAATCTTTTAGGTATTTGACATTTGTGGCATTTATGGATTTAGGCTCTGCCTTTACTGTTTTTAAACAGTATAAATCTAGTCATTCTTCTTAAACAGAATAAATCTAGAAAAGTTTCATCTTTTCCATTTATGATTTTAGCCTAGGCATGAATAAATACTCCCTATAAGTTTTTAAAGTATATTGTTATTGTATTATTACAATAATATATGTTCATTATAGAAAAATTGGGAATATATAGAAAAGAAGAATGTAAAATTGCAAGTATCAATATCTAAAGGCAACTATAATTAACATTTTGGTGTGTTTCCTTTTAGTATGTTTTAGATGTGGTAACTGTTTTTGTGCACATGGCTTAGCCTTAAGACTTAAGTAATACCACCATCCCTTGTTTTTTTCCTCCTTACCCTCTTTCCCATTCCTCCCTCCCCCAAATCTAAGTCTTGGGACCAGCATCCTGCAGTATTGCTGTAGGAGAGAAATAGGAGGCTGGCTGTGTCTGCAGGACCAGCCTTAGCTAACTTTAGCTGTTGTTCCTTAGAACAGAAGAAGAAATAAGAGAAAGACATAGGCTTGTCCAGATGAGGCCAACTTTGCCTACATTTCTTATCATGTGGGGGCAGAAAGTGCAAGAATGAGTGGGTAGAAACTTTAAGCCCAGTAACTTTATTCACTGGTTTACTGTGGTTTCCTGAATGTGCTCTAGTTTCTTTAAGGATTAAAAAAATAGATATTTTTTCAATAAAATTTTCTTTCATTTCTAACTGTATTATTCTTCCTATTGCTAAGGTTTGTCTACTTAAAATATTTATTAGTTAAGAAGCATGTTGGCCTTTCAAAAATATCTTTTATAATCTGGATCATTATAGAACCTGACCCTGTTCTGAAATGGTTAACTTCCTAGATTTAAGTGTGATGGCCCTGCTTACAAATACAGGACTTACCTGTGCTTAAAAATGAACCCTCTTACCCTCATGCCCGTTCCCATCATAGCCTTTGCTGTTGCCATTTTAGAAGAGAGAAGAGAGGAAAGAGCTGATGATGCATTTTACCTCCAGCTGAAATTTGGAATGCATTTATAATCATTTTATAAAGTGTATATTTTAACCATTTAATGGATTAAATTATGTTGTTGGAACATAATTTAGGCCCTGTGCAATGTTTCTATAAGAAAATATGTTTCAGGTTCCAAATATCCAACTTATAAGCAAACCTTTGTAAAACCCTTTTAAAAGTGACAGGATACCCATCTATATTTTCTGCTATAAATTTTGGTCTTGAATTTGTGCTTGTATGACTATATTAAGTGAAATTTAATTTAATTTAGGAAACCCTGAAGATATTGTTGGATCATTTGAAATTGGTGGCTTCTTATCATGAAGTAAATAAGATGACCTGCCAGAATTTGGCTGTGTGCTTTGGACCAGTATTATTAAGTCAGAAGCAAGAGACTTCCACCCATAACAACAGAGTCTTTACTGATTCAGAAGAACTTGCAAGTGCTTTGGATTTTAAAAAACATATAGAAGTTCTTCATTATTTACTCCAACTCTGGCCAGGTAAATGATTCTATGAAAATATTTTTGTCTTTCAGTGATAGGGTGTTTGATTTAGCTAATCATTAAATATGTCCATATATGATTGAACAAAATCTTCTCTAGATTTCACTTTTCCAAATAGTTATGAATGAATACCAGCCCTTTAGATTTTTTCGTTTAAATTTTCTGCATTTGCTAATAACATTGTAGACATATATATCAATGTACACATTTAGGTTTGGTCAGATGTGGTTTTGAATCCTGGTTGTGCCACTTATTAGCAATATGACCTTGGACAAGTTCTTTAACCTCTTAGAGCCTCAGTATCATTTTTTGTCATATGGATTTAATAATATGTTTATAGGCTTTATATGAGGATTAAATAAAAAATTATGTATGTAAGGTGCTCAGCACAGCTCTTGACACATAATAGATACTCAGTAAATACTAACTTCTTTACTCTTTTCATTTTTAGTTCAACCAGTATGAAGCAGAATTCATTTTTCCCCTTGAATCAGTTCTTTCCGACACATCTTTACTGTATTCGTGGTCATTCTTCGAATTATCCCAGCTTGAACTGGCAGTTATCCTTGACCTTTCCATCTTTTTTATCCGTTCCTTATTTCAGTCAATAACCTAAGACTGAACAGTTATTTTCCTAATACATCTCTTACATAGTTTCAGAGCTAAAAGAAATACGTATTTAATTACATGTTCTATAAAGAATCCTGTATTTAAGTTCCAAAATTTTGTTATCCTATAGTAACCCCCACTGCCCTTGCTCCACACTGCATAAGACCAGGTGTGAAAGTACTTCAGTGCTTAGTATACAGCACACTGGTGAAAGTGCTTGGCTCTGGAGTCGGGCCTGGCTTCACCGGGGCCCTTGCCAGTAGGGTGGGCTCAGGCAAAGACTAGCTTCTTCAAGCCGCAGTTTGCTTCTCTGTAAATAGTGCCTACCTCAGGGTTGTTGTGAAGATTGAGATGCGTCCAAGGCAGTGAGCGAAGTATTTAGCACAAAGTAAGCCCTCAGTAAACGCTCTCTGTTACTCACTTATTGGCACATATGAGAAGGAAAGTCCAAAGTACAAAGAAATGCTTGATTTAGTCTTTTAAAATAAAATCTGATTAATTTTAAAAAGTGAATTAAAAAATAAGTTAATAAAGTGTTCAATTTTTAAATTTGGAAAGTTAAAATTTTTACTTTGTTTTAAATGCAGGCTTAAAAATTATTCTAATTTATATTTTAACTGAATTAGAATGTATTTTAATTATTTAAAAATCCCAAATCAAGATTCTCATTGTAATGGGATGATTTCAGCATTTGATGCCTAACATAAGGGATCTCTCAGAGTTTTAAATGTGTGTTTCCTTTTTCTAGAACAGCCTTAACTCTAATAAACATCAGGAATTTGGGAGAAAGCCATCTTATCATTGTAATCACAAGTGAAAACTTGCTTCCTTGGAGACACCATTAAGTTTACTATCAGTAAATTTAATTCTTTGTCATTAATTCTGTATAGAGATTAATGTCATTTTATCATTTTTGTAATAGCTACCTTAGTTTTGGGTTTGGGAGCAGAAACTTAATTTATATCCTATGTTATAGAAAAAGCAGGTTCAGATTTCATATTCATTACATTTTAATGACAACCTTAAACAACTGTCTCCTAGCGTATAGCACCTTATTCCAAAGGTTTGTGTTGTTGGTCTTAAAAATAACTGCTCCTTTTTCTATAACCTGTTATTTTTCTTTAATTGTAGTACCTTAGATGAAGGACAGACCAGGGCAGAAGGACGAGAGGAGGCAACAGTTAGTTTTGCCCTTTAAATCACCTGCTTTTAGATTCAGGAAAAGGCAGAAATCAAGTTGATGTGTGGCCTGAGAAAATTGATGGTGACATAGAGAATGTGACAAGGACTGGGCCATAGCATATTAATTCAGTGAACGCTCATCTCCGTGCATTCAATAGAACGTTTTGACTTTCCTTGTTGTGCACATCTTATTTTTCCATTTGGAAGTTCTTCCACTCCAGAGTTAAAAGGAGTTGCCCCTACCACCTGCTTCCTTTTTACTTTGTAAACTTTTTGTTTTGTTTTTTAATTTTGGGCAAGAAGATAATTTGCTTTGAGATTTCTATTTGAAAAATCATGTCTTCAGATTAATTAGTTAGAACCCTAATATATCAGCACTAGATGGTAAAAATTCTCCTGCCAATAGTTTTTCAGATTATCTTCCCCCAAGCTCTGAGGTTCTTTGGAAGTGGCTTTGGGGCCAGGTTGGCAGGTGGAGGAGAACAAAATGGAATCATACTTCAGATAAAAAGAAGACTGTTCTTTTTATCTGTCTTATGTATTGAGTTTTCATGAAAATTTTTCTTTTGAAAATGACTTTGCTGTTTTTTGTTTTTTTTTTTTGAGACAGAGTCTCGCTTTGTTGCCCTGGCTAGAGTGAGTGCCATGGCGTCAGCCTAGCTCACAGCAACCTCAAACTCCTGGGCTCAAGCAATCCTTCTGCCTCAGCCTCCCGAGTAGCTGGGACTACAGGCATGCGCCACCATGCCCGGCTAATTTTATATATATATATATATTTTTTTTTTAGTTGTCCAGATCATTTCTTTCTATTTTTTAGTAGAGACGGGGTCTCACTCTTGCTCAGGCTGGTCTCGAACTCCTGACCTTGAGCGATCCACCCGCCTCGGCCTCCCAGAGTGCTAGGGTTACAGGCGTGAGCCACCGCGCCTGGCCGACTTTGCTGTTTTAAGAATACTGAAAATTACTTACAGGCCACTGTGTCACTTTACAGATGGGGAAATAGATTTAGACCAGAGCATAACTCCTAGATCTTTGCTATACCGCATTTTCTATGATGAGTCAATTTGGGGCAAGTTTTTTGGAAATGGTATCAATTTTTCTGTAATTCTTTTTATTTCATTTTTCTTACTAAATTGTAAGTTTTGTGGGGTCAGGGATTATGTTTTTGTTTAACCTTATATTCCTAGGTCTTAGTAGAGTTCTTGGCACTAACTAGACATGCAATATATTTCTGTTAAATAAGGTATAATTATACTGTAGATAAAAGGCTAATGAAGTGGCAATTGAAAACAAATCTATTGATAAGGAAAAATTAAGTTTCTTAGTAGTTATCATTATATTTTGAAATTTTTTCAGCAACATTATAGACCGTATTTTTTATTTTATTCTGTTGAAGGTGGGTAGTCAACAATGATGGGAAAACCAGGACTTTTCTTTTGAAGTTAAAATTAGCCATTTTCTCTGCATATTTAGTGGGAAACCATTCCAGCATCAGTAGTCTTAAAAGCCAGTGATGTTGATTTTTCAGAAATTGAATGTTTAGTCTAAAAGATATAAAATATCAATTTAGTTGTTTTCTTAAAATATTTTCTAAGACGATATGTAAAAATAATATTTAAATAGGGTCTTAGACAACTTTAAGCAACTGGCAACAAAATGAATCTGGATTTTGCAGGCAAATGTCAGAAAATGAAGGCAAAATAAGACAATTTTAAGACATAGAATCAAAAGATACAGGGGTTAGATTAGACTAGATGATCTCAGGGTTAGCAGAGTACTGTAATTGGTTGGTGAAAACAACAGGCATGACAGTTAAGCGCTAAGAAGAGTAGGAATAACACAGAGAATGAGAGGAGAAAAGCAAGATGGTGGCAATAAGCAGCTAGAGGAGAAAAAAGAATATGGATACTTAAACAGTGGAACAATTCAGATGTCCATTCTGCAATTATATCAGTTTATGGCATGGAACATTGTATATTATATATTAACTGACAGTAAAGATCAATTTAAAGTAAATAATCTGACCTTTATTTTCTAGGAAATTTTAAATCAAGACTTTCAACTATCTACAATGATATACAATAACCATCATAAAAATGTGATGGTAGAAGTGTTAAAAACTTACCTATATAATAGTTATCAAGTATTCAGTAAAATCTAAGTGAAAAAATTTATGTGGTCTCTGAAAAATTTTATGAATATCACTGTAAGTCTGAAAAACTAGAACCATATACATGTTTGTATAGTTTTTCAGTTGTATTTTGTACAACAGAAAACAAACATTCATTATATGTTGGAGAGTGTAAAATTGATGTTATCACTGATTTATGTTCCCTTTATCTTAGTTAAGGGAAATATAAATGGAGAGACACTTATTAACAGGGAATAAACAAACAGAAAGAGAAAGATGTTATGGAAAATCTTTAACATCTATGTCTCAGCATTTTAAATTAAGTCCATTTTATATACAGAAGAGCCTTAGATAGATATTTTGTCCAATATACAGAGAAGGGTAAGCAGTAAAGCCTTGGTTTGTAATGAAATAATGTGTGTCTCTGTGGTAATCTTCTATATGGTGAGCTCTCAGAAGAAATTAGTCTTAATATGGGGAATGTCATTTGGGATTGTTAAATACCTAACCAGAATGGGAAAATAAAATATCTGTGCTATTTCCAGGCAATAAATGAAGACTATTAGTAGATAAAGCTGTATAATCAAACTCAGGTAACAGTGGCCAAATCTGGTATTCATGCATTTTATCAAAGTGAAATTTGGGCTGCTTAGTAAAGTAAATTATGACACTGCTGCTAATAGAATTGCAAAAAAGCCCACAAAGGTCAGAACTTTTAGAGTGATCACTTTAAATGCCTTTGCCTCAATTAGATGTTTGCAGACAAAGGAACTTTTTATGTTTTGTTTGTACACCAACATGCCTTGCCTGCTTTTTGCTGTAGCTTTTAATTTAGGAGAAGCTGCCAGCTTAGCTACTGTTTGAATTATAGCTGGATAATAATTAACTTGCACAGAACATTGGAAATTTTATTTGTTTTGGGATGTTATAATATAGCATGAATTAGCACCACTGAACATTCTACTAGCTTTTCTATCCCTAATCTTGATTATGTCTGGTGATAGAAAAAATAATTATGGAATGCTTTCTTATGATAGTATGCATGTTTTTGTTTTAATGCATGTTTGTAGTTGATTATTAAATGGCTTATCTTTAGCTCTGTTTTTTTAAGGTCAGTTGGTTTACTATCTCTAAAGCAAAGTTATTGTTCATTTTTAGTGCAACGTTTAACTGTCAAAGAATCAACAGACAATTTGTTTCCAGAGCAGCTGTCTTCTCAGAATTGTTTGAGGCGGAAGAAAGAACGACCTTACATGTTAGATTTGAGTGGTACTGATTCATCAGGAGTACTTAGGCCAAGACAAACCAGATTAGACAGTCCACTTAGCAATCGTTATGCAGGAGACTGGAGCAGCTGTGGAGAAAACTACTTTTTAAATACAAAAGAAAATTTAAATGATGTGGATTATGATGATGTCCCTTCAGAAGACAGAGAAAATGGAGAAAATTATAGCAAAATGGATGGACCAGAAATAATGATCGAACAGCCAGTTCCCATGTCCAAAGAGTGCACATTTCAGACATACTTGACAATGCAGACAATTGAATCTACAGTGGATAGAAAAGTCAATCTCAAAGATCTACAAGAAAGTATTGATACTTTGATTGGAAATCTGGAACGTGAGCTCAGCAAAAATAAGCTTAATATGAGTATTTGAGATTGAGGGTTTTTATTTGGTTTTTCATAATGCCTTAAAGTTTCGAATCTGTCTTTCTCACTTTCTTTTCTTGCTTATACTTCCCACAGTGATGTTTTTTTTACTCTTGAAATTTTCCGTTGATTTCTAGTAAGTTTGTGATTCAATTAAAAACACTATTCACTAATATAATTCTTACTTATTAGAAAACTTATCTGGGGGTAAAGATAACTTGGACTTCTTGGGATATTTTAATAAATCTTGCTAACTCTATGGAAATAACTTTCATATGCATATAGAAGGTTCAGATAAGTTATTAGCCCCTCAAGGTTTTGATACTTCATAGGAACTGCTCTTCTGTAGCTGAGACAGATGTTTCTTTAGAGGATTTGCAGTATGAGTCCTGGTACACTGCAACATCATTTGGTCACATTTCATTTGTAATGTAAATGCTGCTATAAGAAAACCATTTTATAAATAAAAGTAAAATTATACAAATATTAATGTATTCTGTATTAACATTCAGTAATTATTTAAGCTTAAAGAATTAAATATTTTTATAATCCTGAAATTGTGTATATATTTATAAATGCATATATATGTAAGTATTAGAATGGAGGGAGGGGTTGCCTATAGAATCACATGTATTTTTAAAGCATATATGTCATGAGGCCAAAATTATTAGCTTACAGATGTCTTTTTCAGGGAAAGGACATGTAAGTTAAAGGAGTTACATAAAAACACTTGAAAAAAAACACTCTAGAAGCATCTGAATAGAAATAATTGACTTTCTTATTTTGATTCACAGAAAGTCACAGTATACCCTGTGAAAAGTCATCTTTGAAATCCTCTAACTCCTTTAGTGATTAAGCACCCCAATTTCTGCATTGGTGACCTAGATTAGAAAAATCTTTACCTATTTTATGTATTTTTGTATTCTGCTTTAAGTATTTATTTGTAGCAGTACATTTATAACACTGACTTTATAATTACCCCCATTTGTTTCTAAAGAAATCATCTTGCCAGCATACATGTTATTTTTAAAAATTGACTTATTTTACCTAAGTATATCTAAAAGGTAGTCATTATAGCAATACAGCAGTGTTTGAAAATGTAAATTTAGAAGCTCTTTTCTTAAATCAAGATGTATTTTTTTAAACTTTTATACCTAAAGAATGTGTAATTTTAAAATTATAGATAAAATTTAAATTACCAACTTTTAAGATATAGCAGCTATTAAAAAAACCAAATTCCTGATGTTTTCCTAAATATTATTTAACTATTTCTATGCAATATACATTGGTAAACAGATACCTGTTATTTAATTTGAAAATCCATTGTTAAAAAAATAGATAACTATTTTTATATGAAATTTTCTTTTTTTAAAGCTTTGTGTAACAATTCAGAAGAACACCAAAAGACCATATGTATTGAGTAAACAGCCCAAAGAAGGTACTTTTAAATGTTTTCTGGGAAGACTGCTGTAGTTTTTCTTCCTTTTGTTTGCTATTTATGTATATTGTATGAATTGAATAAGTTGTTCCAGAAATGTAAAAATTTTATTAAAATAACCATGGTGTCATGCTATTATCATAATGATTTTAAGGATCACTTATTTTAATATTCTTTTTAAACAAAGGTGTTAAAGTATTGGACCATGATGTATTATCCATAAATATATGTAATAACATTTATTTGTCTAAAATTTAATTCTCCAGGGTCTGAATACTTAAGGGCCATACTTATATTACTATATTATTATATTATTTTGGATGGGAACAGTTTTAAAGTTAATCTCTGCCATCTTAAATAGAGAATTCTAAACATTTTTTGTCTAATCCCTGAGTTATAACTATAAACCTCTCTTATTGACTGTTGTACTAGAAGTGTTGAATAAGTTTAAATGCCTTTATTTTAAATGGCCTTTTATTTTAAATATTTTTTGAATTTTTATACCTGCTTTTTATAATTTCCTGGGATGTTTCTACACTGTCAGCTGTCATTCCTTTATGAGCCTGCCAGCTCTCATGTCTTTTAGAATTAAAAACAATTTTAAGTTTCTAGCATGTACCCGAATAAAAATTTTTTTTAAACAATTCATATGGATAGAAAATAAAAAGTATTTCTCCCTTCTGTCCACACCAGTTTCACTTCTCAGAGGTAACAGCATGTTTATTAATGCTGTTTCTTTATTTATCATTTAAGAAGAATCGGTTGATTGTTGTGAATGATAAGCAATTTATCTCACTCCATTCCTTCTTACCATTTTTGTTATATTTTTAGTTCATTTGTTTTCCTTCATAACTTAATTAATAATCTTTATTTTTCTGGTCCATTGACTTTTAAACAGTCTCCCTTGACTCCCTACCATTGAGGAAATGACCAACCCTGTACTTCCCCTCCAACTCATTATTGCCCTTACCTCCTAACTTCTGTAAGTTATACTACTAGTTTATGTAATCAATGTTCATAGATGTATATTACTTTGGAGAATTATATTTATGTTTTTCTTTTATATAGTATTTTGATTCTAAAATTACAAATCAATAACTAGCAGTCACACTAGATTATATGAAAGTATTCACAGATAAACCAGGTGATTTATTTCTTTCTACATATCTAATCTTATATCCTTAAACCTGTGCTGATTTAAGTAGACCGTTCCAAGCAGAAGTCAAATGGATTCTTTATTCTCATAGCCATCAACTTCTCCAAATCATATCATGTGTCATTTGCTTCACAATCCGGTTATGGCTTTTGCAGATTATTATTTTTCCTGGAGTATGTAATTGCTTTTTTTTCTTGACAGAAGAAAAATGCTTCCTTTACTATAACTCTTCCTTTAATCATACTGTTGAATTACCAAAATTGTTCAGAGTGCTTTTAGCCCTCATCTGGGATTCCTGAAGTATATTCTTATTTTTATTTATTTTTCTTCTTATGTCTTCTTCACTATAACCCTGAGATCACTTTATGCTTCCTAATCAACTTTATCAAATTTGGACAATGTGATTTTTAGCTATCATCCTGAGATGTACTTTCTTTGTACTCCTATGTTAGTTCTTTTTTTTTTTGATCCCACTCTCTTGAATTTGTTTTTTCAAATTTGTTTGTCTGCTGAAGTATATAAATAAAGTGCCTTTTTATCCCCAGGAATGGTACCTGGGAGATAAACTCTAAGTCCTTGCATATTTGACAAGGCCTTTATTTTTTCCTCACATTTTATTTTTATTGGCTCTGCAATTCAGTGTTTAAACCCATTTTCCTTTAGAATTTTGAAGGCATTTCACAATTATTTTCAAGCATCCAGTTTTGCAGTAATCTAGGCTAGAAAGAGGGTAATTCAGACCAGGATAGAAAAAATAGAGATGGTGAGAAAAGGTTGGATTCTGGTTATACTTTGAAGTAGGAGCTAAAACAATCTGCCAGTGGACTGGGAAAGGAGTAGGGCCTGAGCAGCTAGCTGAAGGATGGAGTTGCCATCAAGTGAGACTGAAATGATTCTATATTTTTTAAGTGAGTTCCTTGTATTGGATGTGGGTATTATTAATATAGTAGTTATTAAAATACATTATAACATCTTATTAACTATTAGTATTAATGCTTCTGTACCTGGGGATGATGCTCATAGAGTCACTGCTAGAATAAGAAAGCAAGAAGAATTCATATATATCTAAGAAAAATCCCACAGAATAGCTGTCTTTGGAAAGTTTCAGGTTGTGTAGCTTTATATCTCAGGGACCCTAAAGAAAAAGAGTTGGATACTGGTATGATTCCTGAAAGGAATTTAGTTTCCAGACCACAGATTGACTTTGACAGTTAGGATTTTATAAATTAAAAACCAATTTTTAGGTACTGGTTATGATAAAGTTGTATTATGTTTGATAATAACAAGTCCTAATTCTAGTCTTACTGACCCGAGGACTTTGGTACAAAGAGAAATGCTCTTTTCCCTGACCAGTTTTCATGTCGAATTCAATAAGGCTCATATGTGATAAACATTGAAGTTCCACAGGTCAGAGTTCTTGGTTGTATTCTCCCTCAGCCAAAAACTAGCTAACCCCAGCAGACATTGAATTTATTGAAAAAATACTGTATCAGAGGGAAGGCTGTTTTTGGGTGCTGAAAATCTTATATCTTGATCCAAGTGGTGGTTTCACGGGTATTTACATATCAAGTTTCATACCTAGGGTTTGTGCTCTTTATATAAATCATGCCTGAATTTTTTAAAGTAAATTTTTTTTTTTAAAAAAAATGGGCAAACTGGAGAAATAGAATTGGAAAATTAGCAGAAACTAAGAGAGGTTAGGTTGTCAGAATGACAACAATCAAGACCATGCCTGGTTATGGAGCTGCTGTTGCTGCCCCTGCCACTAAACAGCCCATGTACACCACTAGAATTAATTATAAGATATCCCTGCTTCTCTGCATCATTGCTGATTCGCATAGTTCCTGACAGAAGCATCAGATTGTACCATAGCTTCCAGGAGTTAGAAATTGGCTCACATCCTTTCCCTAAAACTTATAAATTCTTTGACTTCAAGGAAGGGAATTTGGAAGCTGAGCAGGCAAAACAGTGACAAATGTACAAATACCTAATCTTCATCAGAACCCTGTTGCCCGCAAATTGGAGTCTTTCTTCCCCTCCCCAACATGCCCTAGCCATCAGCAGGTCTGGGTGCTATATGTCCTAAAACTGTGATAAACTTAAGTTTATCACCGCTAACACCCTAGTCCAAGCCACCATCATGCCTCAATCTCTTCCTGTTTCACCTCTGCTATCACACTTTTCTCTCCACACCCTCAATCCAGTCTATTCACAGAAGCTAGTCATAAAAAGATAAACCACATCATTTCCTAGGCCTTCTCCCTTGTTCCTTGTGCTCTTGCAACTGGGACCTCATTCCCATCTGAGGATCTTTGCACTTGCCATTCCCTCTGTCTGGAAAGCTCTTTATCCAAGATCTTACTTAGGTAGTTCCTTTTTGTCATTCACTTCTCTGCTCAAATGTCACTTCAAAGAGGCTGCCTCTAGAAAGCC